TCCCTATAGCTTTAATTTAAATACGCATTTTCACTTAGCACTTACCAAAGCTTTACCTTTATGATGTTACATGATTACAGGTCCATTAACTAATCACATTTGACAACTTGTTTATTGAGGGGAGCAACTATTTTACATCTCTTGCCTGGGAAAGAAAATACTGCAGCAAACAATTATTCAGCAGCTGCAATCATGGAACACTGAATTAATTGCTTTGAAGATTTCAGTCAAGAAGAGCTTGATAAAAATCAAAGAAAATGTTGTTTGACAGAATGCATGAATGAAAATGCCAGAAGGGAATCTGGTTTTGTAAGCTGCATTTATGTCCCAGAGAACATTAAATGAATCTCATACCTTGAAATGTAGCATTCTGACAGAAAAAAGGAAGCTGTGGAAAAGCTTAGTTGCTTGTTTGTTCTTCTAAGCTTTAGTTTCTCAAAAACAGAAATTATACATGCTTTGATTATAGGATCAGAATGCTGCTGAAAGCGATTTTAGTGCTATCAGGTTTTAATATTGGTAAAAAAGCTAACACAAGGCTATTTCGTACATATAACCTTTGTGGCCTACTTTCCCCAGCCATACAAATAATTAACCTAGAGGGTGTTGTGAGCGTTTGTGTTTATAAAGTGCTTTAAGACTCTCTGCTGAAGGGAGAAGTTGTGATTGGACTTGGAGTGGAATAAAAAGCAGGCAAACAGAAGGTGTCTTGGCTCTGGACCTGGACAGGTGAAAGGGTCTTGATGCGTGTGGTGGTTCTGCACTGCTATACGCTGTGTTGGGGCCTGGGAAAAAGGCAGTTGTGCCAGGGCTAGCTGCTCCTTGCTGCAGGAGCATTACTGTGATACCCCAGCAGCGATGGCGCCTCTGTGGCGGGGCACCAGTGCAATGGACTTGCTGACAGGGGGTTGTCTCCCCTCCCTCCCTGCCTGAGCCCATTCTTGCCCAAAATAAGCAAATGTCCTCAAAGAGCCTGACTGCTCCCCAGCAAAATCTGTACCCTTAGAGTCCTTGGTAGATTCATAAGGTGACTTGCGTGCCTCAATGCTACCTTAAAATATGTATAAAAAAAGAAAAACAAATTTGAACACCACTACATAAAGGGCCTCAGACTCCCTGGGGCCAGCTTCCCAGAGGATTTCTGACTGGACCTGGCTGCTGCTGAGCTGGAGGAGCAGACTGTGGCGACGGCGCGCTGTGTGGGGAGCAGCCATCTTGCCCAGCTCAGCACTGGCACAGCTCCTTGCTCAGTCTGCGAAGTGCGTTCTTGCGTTCCCCTGGCCCCAGTCACTGGGCCAAGCACTTGGGTAGTCACCAGGACAGGGTGAGCGAGAGTGCATGCGTGCATGTGTGTGTGTTCATGCGAGGCTGGGGCTTTGGTTGCAGTGACTGAAATAGGGCTTCAGAGCCAAGTCTGCTGCAGCTTGGGTGGCTGCTCTTGCCAATGCTGGGCTCATCTAGGACTTATTGCGATTGCCACACTGAAAGGGAAGGGAAGTTCTAAAGTTCAAGAGCCTTTGTTGTAAGGGGCTTCAAAATGAAGTGCCAGGACTGAACAGTAGCATCTCTGGATACTATATCATCATCAAAAGCTGAAAAAGTTGCCCAAGGGCAATAGGTAAAGTAGCTGAAGGGTAGTGATAGCCTCAAACGGCATTTCAGAAAACACCTAAATTGAGTTTCTGTGGTAACATGAAAACACACTGTCATCTTTTCAAAACTGCTCTTCTCTTAACCTATTAAAGCTAGATATCATTGCTAGATTTTTCTCTCTCTAGAAAACTGGGAGAACTTGAATTCATCTCCTTTTCAAAGATCTTTTTCTCCCAAACAAGCTGAAGAAAGGGAAGAAAGCCAGAGGATGCTTAACATGAGATTCCGATGGAGCGTGATATGGCAACGCATGGCAGAAGCTCTAGCTTAGAAGCAACAGTGCCAATAGAAATCATATTACAGGTAATTTGAACAGCAGAAATCTAAAGACTGTTTCACTAGTGTGTTATCTCTTGCTGCTTTTCCAAGAAAATATTATTGTATGTATTTTTGGTCGAAGTACGTAGAAAACACAGACTTGGTGTTCAGCCTGGAGAAGAGAAGATCGGGGCTGGAGGGTGGGTGGGGCTCTTACCAATGTGTATAAGTATCTGAAGGGAGGGTAACAAGAGGATGGGGCCAGACTCTTCTCAGTGGTGCCCAGCGATAGGACAAGAGGCAACAGGCACAAACTGAAACACAGGCAGTTCCGCCTGAACACAAGGAAAAGCTTCTTTCCTGTGAGGGTGACTGAGCACTGGCACAGAATCCAAAGGGAAATACGCGTATAAATGGAGTGTAAGGGAGGTGAAGATTTACACACCTATGACCAAAATTTTTGGAGATGGATGGCGTGCACTTACACTCAAGGGTCACACCAACTGAAGGCAGGTTAGAGATGGCATTGTCCCAGGCCGTGCTCACTGAAGTGCTCCCAAAAGCTGGGTGAGCACTGTGGTGGGGGCGCGCTGGCATCCCTGCCGTGCTGTATCAAAACCTCATCACCTGCAAGGGCCTCCAAGGAAGGAAGAGCAGTGACAATGACCGTCCACCTACCAGACCCCTAGTAACACACCTGAGGAGCCACTGCAGGCTCCCAGTTCAGCAGCTTCCAGAAGGATGGCAGTATTTAAATGCACGGTCATGAAACGCTGTGTTGTGTTGCCAAATCTAGCACCACTAAAGAATAACGCTTCCAAAAAGTGGCATGGAAACTATTGTCACTGCTGCCCCTGTTTAAAAGGGTGAGAACCTAAAAAGCCTTAGCCCTTGCACTGGCTCTTGTTTAATATGGGCAAGAGCCTGAACTGAATTTATATGCTCATAAATACATACCGTGACCCAAATAAGAATCGCTTCTCGAGTAACTTGTTGGCTCTCTTTAATGCTTGAATAAGAGGCAGACAGAGCAGCATTGCATCTACATTCCTTGAGCCTAGCTAAATAATTGGATCTCTCTCTTTTTTTTTTTTTTTGCAAGTATAGTTTACAGAATTTGCCCTGCAGAAGGAACCACATAGTAAAATGCAAGCAAACAAGCTGTTGCTGAATTTTTGTATCTTATCGGTCTACCAAGTCGCAAGAGGAACAGAAAACTTTACAGTTTTATCCATACGGGAAATAGAGAGTTAGACATTAATGCTTGGAAATCAATAACTTTATTTGCCAAGTAATTATAATTCAAATTATTTTAATAGCTAAACAGAAAAGCATGCATCTGTCTGTAGGCTTAACTACCTATTTCATGAGCTGGGATCAAACTGAGTTAGTCCCAAGATAGCAGACCACTCTTTACCAAAGGATAAGAATCAGGCAGATATTTAAGAAACTTTATAATGAGGTCATGAGTAAATAATGATATCTTATTAAATACAAAAATGAACTCTTATCAAAATAATAAAAATTACTAATATTACTAATCTATTAAACACATAGCATAGTAAAACTAGTTTGAGCTAGAGCAGTGTGTGGAGTAACGCTATTTGTCCATAATGCAAAGCTTCCCGTTATTTAGTAACATTTAAGTAAGACCCTTCTGGCCTTTAGTTTCTTGCCTGTTTGAAGAGCTAGCCTGCCTGATGTCACCTCAAATCTGCTATGCTGTAAGATAAAGCTACTTTGGTGAGAAAAGCAGACTTGTCCTCTGTGTTGAGTCAGTAAGTCTGGATTCAGGAGAAAGAAATGGAAAGTTGCCATAGGTCTGAGAACTTGCTCTAAGTGGGTATGTTAAAGTTACCTTAGCTGTGTCAGCAGGACGTGCATACTGAAGAAATGGAGTCCAGCTCTGGACAGGATGTGAGGAGGTCCATGCCAGGTGTCCCTCCACCCAAAACCATCCCTGACAGCTGAGCCACCCTGGGGAAGGCAGACCACAGTCCTGCTCAGCCAGTATGCAGAGCTGCAGCAGCTCCTTGCCCACTGGAGGTGGGCTGGAAATTGTAAAGCAGGGAGGCTACTTCTGCATGGCTAAAGGAGGAACGGGTCTCTGGGCCAATAACACAGCACAGTCTTGTAGTCAGTCACAGTTACATTTCTGTGTGATAAATTTGCAGCAGGAATAATCAGGCCTCCAGCAAATAGGTCAATGGAAAAACATCAAAATGTAACTTCTTTTATATAAAGAGAGACCAGTGCCCTCTAATTCCATAATTAGTGTTTGTCTCGTCTCTCCAACCTCATTAGCCAAATCTGTGATTAGAATCAGAGATATAGGAGAGAAGATGTCAAGCATATATTCATCTTTATCTGTTTCTTCTCCATATATTATGTACTTTTTTGGAGTGGCCATGAGGAAATGCGTTCCCATGGTATCATCAGAGGAACGACATCCAGCACCAGATTTTCCTGCCAACCAGATACATGGGCTAAGAATCTGGCAGTGCAGTAACTTGGCACTTGTGACTGCAGCTGATACGTTCACATCTTAAGAAGGTCAGTTAAATTGCTTTCAGTTTATTTTAAAAACTCTCAGCGCTTGCCTACAGACATGAGGGACTAAAGAATAATGACTACTCAAAACCAAAGGACGTACAGTAGCTGCTACCATCTGAAAAACAAACATTGTGTGGACAAAGCACCTTCCTTGTGCCAACTACACATTCCCAACGTTGTTCCTGCTATTGAGAAGTTTTTAAGTCAGATGTTACGTTCACCATAGTAGCGCCACGATCATCTTATCTTTCTTAAATAAAGATGCACCTTAAGAACAGATAATTCTGGTAGTAGATCAATGGAAACACTTTTGTTTGTTTTTCACTAATGCAGAATGGGTAGCTAAAACAGAGACAACACTACTGAAAATACGCTCTTATAAACGAAGTGTACCCCTGAGCTATAACTGTGTGTTCAGTTCTGGGTACCCAGCTCAAGAAAGACATCAAAATACACGTGGTATTTTGAAATAGACACTCACTAGAAAATGGAAAATACAATTCTAAGAATGGAAAAGACTAGAACTGCGCCTTCAGGGGGAAAAAAAAACTTATGTGAAGATATTGATATATTGGTACCACCTCTATAACCAGTGCAAAGAAGGTAGGTGAGGCACTATTGCCTAACTCTCTCCTTCTTAGTGAAGGAAAATATACAAATTTTAAAATATGGAAAAAAAATTGAACTTTCATGGCCTATCAAACTGTATTTTTTAGTTCTACAAGGCAATACTGATGCCAAAATTTATGTAAAGTTAAAGATTTTTAACTACTTCTTAATGCCACTATGAATGGGTGTCCAAACACACACACGTAGTGACATTTTGTCAGGATACAAGGCTTTCTGCACTGCATATAGAAGACCCTGTAATTATTAAGGCCTAGGAGGAACCTGTCTGTGTATGACAGGCTATTCTACAACTTCCTTCTGCAGGAATTCTTGTATCATCATCATCTAACACATGTGACAATGACCTGTCTCACTTGTTCTTTCTGTCCACTATTTCCAAATTTTCTTCTTTTGGAAGAACTTTATAGAAATCTGAAAAAAGCCTTAATAGTATAAAAGATACTTTGCTAGTTACTATAATTTTTCCCCTCTGGGGAGGTACACAAAAAACATTTAGAAAGCTATACTGATATGAAAATGTTGAAAGATTTTTTTTTCCCCCCTGTGAAAAGCAATTTATTTTGATGTCTTGCAAACAGATTTTTATGTGAATATATAATACACATATGGGAAGATGTCAGTATAGCCATTTGGTAATGGTTATATTAAGAGATCATCATAGCTTATTTTTCTATGATCCCTTAAAGCAAACTGCAGCATCTTTAGCTGCAGCATGGTTTTCATTAAATTACTCAGCTGCATTGGCTTGCTTTGCAATTATCAATCATACTTGTTATTTTCATGGACCCATAAATCAGTCAAATATTCTAGAATTAAAATGTCTTAACAACTCCCTCAATGTTTATTAGAGTTCTTTTGTGATAATTGGACAGGAATTATACTTACTTGAGGAGTATAGTTAGCTTTAAATTAGCAGAGCTGCATAGAGTTCTATCTAGCAAAGAGAACAGTTACTCCCCAACTCCACGAAACTGTCTATAGAAGAAAAAAATTATGATGTGTGGTTTTAGTAGAGTCAGTGGCTCTTTTATGAGGTCACCATACAACTGTGGCAGCCTGAGAACAGAAGTGGAATGAATGAATTTTTGGAAGTCTGCTTAATGACACTTTTTCTTAGAGACCATGGAAAAAAGTGGGATAGCACATAAAAGAACACATTTATGTAAACAAGATGCATCTCTCATAACATTAACTTTAGGTATTCACACACAGACCTATTGGATACATCAGACTGAGTAGAGCAATTAGTGCTAGCAGCCAAGTGTTCTTCCTTTTTTCCTCCAGTTCAGAAAATTGAGGCCGATGTTGTTTATTATTGTCAATACTAGCCTAGAGGGACACATTCAGCAGGCAGAGTAGAATGTAGACTCCTTAAAAGGAGTTCTGATTTTACAGCAGCTATCACCATCGTTTATAAACTGGACTAAAGCTTAATGTAGTTTTAGGGTTAAAAAAAATTACATCAAAAACCTTTTATTCTAGAAGCATTTTTAATTTCACTTGCACATGTCAGTTGAAACACAGAACGTTATCAGTAAAAAACCGAAGATTTCTTTCCTAACATTTCACAGTACATTGGTTTCCAAATCCGTATTTTTCTGTTAAGGCAACCTGCATTAATTATGAATCGACTCTGCATACTAGGACAGTATTTCCAAATATGTACAAACCACCATAAAATAACTACTAATACAGTTACCATAGAAAAAGATAAAGTCACAATAGAAGTAAAAACGTAAACATGTTACACTACTGTCTTTAAAACTGCAAAATTTACCACCTACCATCCCAAGACAAACAGAACAGCTAAAGACATTAGGTGCGATATAAAAAGTTACTACAGTAAGTCTTTGTTCAGCCAATATTTCAGAAGTCGCATTAAGAAACTGTTCATGTTTTGTGAAATGTATATTCAACTAAAGTTTGGACGAGCAGAAGAAGAATTCAGGCTGACACTCATCTCTACCCTACTGCAAGATTGCAACCTCATTACTTAATTGCTTTGAAGCAGAAATTAATTCATTCTAGCAGAGAACAAGCAGGTTCAATTTTAAGAGTGGGCTTGCCACGCTCCTCAGAAAAGTACCTCATCACATGCATAGTTCATTCAGCAGTAGCAGATGAACAAGAAGCACAAAGCCACCACCATCTTCACTGTGCTACGCTCAAAATTTGAGCGGTTTATTAAAGGTGTAATATATCTGAACAAATGCTATTTTTCCCTAGAATCCATGGCAAGACAGCAGCACACTGACTTGCCTGCAGAAATGGGAATAGAGGGTAAGGGAACTGCAAGGGCTGGGAAGAAGCCACAGGCTTCTTGCTGTATTACAAGCCTCATCACAGCAGGAGGCTGGCTAATAGCACCTTCTTCCTTTGAGAGTTATTTTATGTTGCTGCATTGTTTGATTACAGATGTTAATCAAATTACTTTTTTTTTTTTGATTGCTGATACTTTGAGTCATGAAATTAAAGCACACTCATGACTGAGTATAACTGATAAGATGGCTTAATTGGTACCTTCTCTTTTAGCACCCAGAAGCAGTAGATAGAAGATTTCCACCTTGTCCCTTAAGGAATACCTGCATTCTACCCCTCTGGCCATATTTTCTCCCTCAAGATTCCCTCTCACCTCCATTATGAAAGACGAAAGTTGACAGCTTCCTCAGCCCCACGCAGTACCAAGACGGGCTTCAGCAATTGCCTTGGGCCACATCCTTAAAACCGAGAGCCTGGGAAATGAACGAGTGCAAAGTCTAAAATGTCACTATATACCCACCTTCAGTAAAAGATTACACTGCCACATAGCTGTCTTCCTCTTATGGGTACAAGCAATTTATTAGCAGTATGCTTGCTTTGAATATTCATCCTCATTATAGTCAGGGAAACTTGACAAAAAACAAAGCAGGAGTTTTAATCTCTGAACATGCCTGTGTAATCATAAGAAGGGGACTGGTATCAGTAATAAAGTATTACAGTTATTCACTATAGAGGAAAGTCAAAAAATTCCAGTTCTCTCTCACAGATAGGTCTAATTAGACTACTAAAAATTGTTCTGTTTTATTACTAAAATTTATATTCTCTTGAGTAGACAAAGGAGTACAAATGTATTCCCTAGAACTGACTTTATTCTATTGCTAAGTTCAAAGTTTACTGTTGGCATGCAGATTTTATCAGTTAAACCAAGCTCCTCAACAGAGGGTGCAAAAGCAATGATAAAAAGGTAATACATAAGGAGAAAAAAAAAAGGTTAATAAATACTAAAACCTGAAGTCAACTGATGCTACTTAATAGGGATTTTATATATATTGTTATAGTGCAGGTGCTTAAAATAACAGAAACTAGATTCAGTAGTGGAGAGGCCTTTATAGTTGTAGGAGCCTAACTTTGTAATTACTTTAACAAGTCTTAACACAGCGATGCTATTTCACAGGACTGCAAGAACAGCGTCGTCATCCTTAAGACCAGGTTATTCAGTGGCCTAGTTTGCTTGGTGGTGGTCTGGACAGTATAGTGAAATGGCTGATATGAGACTAATTTAAGGACAGAAATACAATATCAAGCCATACAGCTTCAGGAAAAATAGGTCTTGAATAACAGGTTGCATTTTTCTCTTTTAATATAATAAAGACACATGCACTAAGGTGTTATTCTTAAGAATCCTAAGTTACCTAGTGGAAACCAGTGGAACGTAACATTTTCATTAAAATATCAACACTAGATAAAAATCAGTGTCGAATGCCATGTTGAAAAGAGAAAACCAATTTCAAAATGCAGTATTAAATAGGGAATCAGTGTAGATGTTGGTCCTCGAATTTCTATCTTACTCCGTTTTTGTTTTTTTTTTTTTAATTTCTGGGAAGAAGAAAAAAAAAGACAGCTACTCTGTGTGCTTTTCCCTACCCCCTCAGCTATGTCACTGGCCTAATAAGAACTTATCACCTCTCTCTACAAACCTTGCCTTGCATTCAATTTTAAAAATCAATGATCTGGAGGAAACTGTAAAAATCACTTGCAATAAATTTGCAAAGGCTATGCAGGCGGCTGGTGCAGTAAAGAATGAGGGCAGGTCACTTATACAGAGCAATCTGGATCACTTCATACACAGTATTTTAATGCTGGTAAAATACAGTGTATATTTCCAAGAAAAAAAAGTACAATAAGAGGATTATGTCCCACATTCTTGAAAAAGACTCTGAAAAGAACTTGAGCCATGAGAGTCAGCACCAAAGGCAGTGCTTCAAAAAGGGATAATGTGATTTTTTTTTTGGGGAGGGGGGGAGGAGCAGGGAGGGGGGGAATATAAAGCAGAGTAAGAGGATCATGTTATGTCTCCGTGTATTCCGGACAGGATCACTATTGACTTGTTGCATCTAATTCAGGTGTCACATTTAAAAAATATTTCAACACATAAGAAGTAGAGAGAAGAACTTGAAGATTAGTCTTGGATAAAATTAATTGCAATAAGAAAGTTAAGGAATTCAGTACATCTTATCAGAGAAAAGGTTAAAAAGGGACATAATCATGATTTATAACTGCACATAAGGAATTAGAAAAGCTGATACTATAGAGATCAATATAAGCAATCAAAGGCTTAAAAAGACCAAAATAACTTAAGGTGGAGCTTGAAATGTAAATAGAAAATCAAGTGAAAAATGTACCTGGGATAATTAACCACTGCAACAGCTTATTGAGGAAGTATGGGTGAATTCTCATCGCTTTAAGTCTTTAAATTAATACTAAATGCCTTCCTAAAATATGTATGCTGCAATTCAAAACAAAGCTACTGAATTTAATAGAGAAACTGCTCGTTGAAATTCAACAGCCTGTTGAATTTCAGAATAAATCCTCATTATGCTGTCTTCTTGCCATATATATTTATGAGATTTATTTTGAAATACAGCAAATAAATGGAAGTGGTTTGCCAATAAAAGGCCCTTTTTCTTTCTAGAATATAGTATCATTTAAAACTAGATTTAAAGCTAAACCACCTGCAGTTACATCTTGGAAAATATGGGGGTTTTTTTCTGGTTTTTTTTTTCCCCTGTTTCGTGTTCAGAGTTGCCTAGTCCACTTAGTTGACCGTGTCCGATTTACATAATCATGTAGTTAGTCTTCAGTTTTTCCTGTTCCTACTACAAACCATTCACAAACCATCCACTTAAGTAACAGCATGATTTGTTGTAAAAATAACTAGGGTTGTTTCAGAGGGAAAAATGCAGCACGATTAAATGAAGAATGAACATGGACGGACATTCTAAAAACCAAGGGCTCTAATCCTGCAAAGAGATTTGTAAAGGAAACCCTGCCTCCCAAGCCCTATCCCAAATAGCCAACAAACTACTGAAGGAATTCAGCAGACACCTTTACAACTGTGCAGCCAAGAGATTGGCAGAAGACAAAAAATAAACCAACTATCATCCAAGAAAGAGAGTTTAAGGTGTAGGTGTAGGTATATTTAAGGTGTAGGTCCAGGCGAAAGACTCTTTCTGTAGGCTCCTTTGTAGCTGCCCAGGAACCGTAATAACCAGTGCTTCTCGCAAAAGTGGCGAGCAGTCCGATGTAGGGATATCCAAGTTCAGTACTTTCACCTGAAGTACCCATTCTGTTATTTCAGAGAAAACGAGTTTGGGGTGGGGGAGGAACTTTGTACACCAGCAATGTGGCCATGTTTGCAGACCATTTATCTACCAGAAACTGCCGAGATGTTCCATGAAGAAGCTACGCTGCAAGAGCGCCATTAGGCAGAAAAATGACCTTAAAAACGAAACCCTAAAGAGGTGTTCATAGGCAATATTATTTTTAAATGTTTGCATCAGCCTAAAATAAGCAGCAGTGATGGATTCCGTTCTTTTGCGGACGCAGATAATCCTTGTCCATTCGGATAAGGTATGTACCATGAAGAACCTAGTAGATCCCATGCTAAATTGGCAGACCTGTTTCAAAAATTGATATAGTTACAGAACCATTGAGAAGTGCAGAATAACTTTTCACAGTACATTATCTTATAAGCAGCGGTTCCCAAACGACAAGGGGTATATGAGAAGATTCGGGGTGAGGTCAAGCACGGAGCCCAAGAAAAATCAGCTTTGCAAGATCTGTGCTGAATGTGTGTGAAATGCCCAATTGAACTAGTCTGAGGAGCCGTACATGGGAGAAGCAGAGGGACAGGTGAGAAGGCAGCGGTCACAGCCCTGGTGCAGGGAGAGAGATACTTGACTGCTGCCAGTTTCTCAAGGACGAAGTACTAACTACTGTGTTCTGAAGAAGCACCATTACTTCAGGTAGAGATACTGCCTAGTAGCTCATTTAGATGTTAGGAGTCTGAGACTGCAGCCAATAACGCCCTGGTTAAAAGAAAAAAGCTTTAGTCTCCATACTTAGCAGGCTATATGCTAAAAGCTATTTTTAATTCTCGAGAATTCTCTATTTTAATTCTCTGAGAGTTTCAGGGACTCTTCCTAGCTAACTGTTACGTCTAGGGCTGCAACCAAGACCTAGGGTCTAGCATTTCTTTGACGGATTTCTGTCTAGGGGCTGGTGCCAGTTTGGTTTCAGACTCTGTCTTGGTAACCAGTGAAATGGAATTTCTGTGGTCAGTTAAACTGCTCTTTCTACAAGGACCAAGCTTGCGAGGAGCAGCAATGGGTCTCTGTTGCATTACAGTAGATAACTTTGAATCGAAAGAACTGCATGTGCTATCAGATTTCTCCCAGTTTTCTTTGCCCAATTGCTCTGTGTTCCGCTGTGCTTTTGCACTGTATGGCGATTTATCAGATGGTGGAGGAGGAGCTGCTCTTTTCTTTCCTCTGCCATCATGAGGACTTACAGTCTCACTTTTTGTGCCTGGATGCATGTTTGTGTGAACAACCATCTCATGAGATCCATCGAAGAGCGAGGCCCATAAGGAAAACGCAGACTCCTTTTGCTGGCCAAGCAGGAACTCACCACCGCTCTCTCCAATTTTTCTTTGTATGATATCAGCTAAGCCCTCGTGTTTCACTGGAGAATCAATGCCTGTAATTTTAAGGAACAGCAATTAAACTTAAATGCTACCAATAATTTTTCTCCCATCTGTTTCATTATTGCTATTCTGATCACAAAACTGCATTAAGCATGTCCCATGAAGCCTGGACTAGTATTAAGAGTATTAGTGGGAGAAATGGAAAAGGTGACATACGTTTGCAGAGAGAACAGAGGTGACGGAGTGAAGTGTTTTCACGACAGCTGGCATTGAGGCATCAGGATAGTCATTGATGTTTCATTCCAAGTAGAAAGGAAAAAAAGTACTACTAGGAAAGCTATGTACATATTTTAGATATCATTTTGTTGTACAGTACTTTGAAAATTTCATTTCACAGAAGGCCAGTGCAAAAATCTAACTAAATACTCTTGTGCTTCCAGCCTGCAGAGAATGGAACATCTTTACATACTTCTTTTTTCTTTATGTGCTTTAAGACTGCCTTACTCCATTTCTTTCGCATGTTGAGCTTCCCGTGTATATAGCAGTAATAGTAACCCCTAACCAGCAGCAGTATCTTTTCTGCTGCAGGCCGTACATTAGTGATTTTTAACACATTTTTAAACATTGAAATACTAGGCCTCTTCCCTTATGAATAGTATAAATAATCAGGAAAAAAATGGTGTATTAAGAGTGAAACAAAATTTGTGTTCTGTTCCTCACTGACATGTTTAAGTCTGAGCAGAATTATGCTACAACGTTTCATATTACCTTCCTAGAACTTCTATATAGTTGATTTACTGCCTTTCTGCTCGACATCCAAAAAAAAGTCCTATCTGAGCTATGACTGTTCAGTGCTCTGATGCACTGCAACTCGATGACCCACATGGCATTTTGAACATCTTTACAACTCCAATCTCAAGCAGTAAGGAGTCGGGCATTTATACCTGTACAGTGCTTTTCAGCCAATACTGCATTGGATCCATTAAAACAAAGTGACCTACTTTTCTAGTCTGTAAATATTATTTCTGTAATGAAACTATTAAAGTAATCCTGCTGCACAGCATTTTGCTCTGCAAAAATAGAAGTCTCAAATTCTTGCTAGATAGACTGTCTGAGCGTATTTTTCAACATCCTTACCAAAGACCAAACAATTAGGTACCTAAGTTACATTAGGAAAGCCTTTGTATATACAGCTTTAAAAAACAACAAATTAATTTCATGCAACTACTTAAAGACATTATTGGTTGGCAGACTGGACTGTTTTACCTTGTATTCCCTGCGCTTTATACTACTATTACAGTGAGTGTTTATTTCTAATGACAGCTTTTTCGAATGTGTTCAGGGGTCCCTAATTACAGTTCAGATTGCAGATTTTTTGGTTCAAGGTATAAAAACACATTCATTACTTCTATTACAAATGCAGATTTAACATGAACTCCTTGGTATGCAATTATGTTGCTCTTTCATTGTCTGAATTGCCCTTGAAAAACTCCATGTTTCAACATCAACACCAGAAGCCATCTGAATAGAGACAGTGTTATTGCTGTTGCTCTGCAACTTGAAAAGACAAATCCCACTTACTCATATCATGATAGACGGAGGTTGCCTCTTTTGTCAAGAACAAAGGTGGTTTCCGTGGTGACATAATCTCAATTTTCATAAGTTCTTCACAACAATGTTTCCACTGGCCTGAGAGAGAATAGAGAACGATGATTGGAACTTAAAACGCTTCAGCTTGAAAAAAAATTGAAGTTGTTAGACTGTGCTAGGAAACTATCTGCAAAGCAACGCTAACAGTAAGCATTTCCTTTTTTTTTTTTTCAAGTAGGAATGCTCATGAAGTATTGTATTTTCAACTCTGAACTCATTCCAATTTTTAGCACAAGTGTCATAAGCTATCTTTAATTTAAGCATCCTAGCAGTACTATTACACCACAAACAGTGAATATCATAATTTGCTTTCAGAGCCCCAAACTCAGTACAAATTCATCAGAAAAAAACAGAATTAAAAATAATCATAATTTAAGGTAAGGAAGCTTCATAAAGTTATCAGGGGACAAACTCCAGTATACAGCAAGCTCAGTGTTAGAACTGTTTCTTTACTCTAAGAGTTGTGCGTCTTTAATAGAGGGTAACATCGCTGTCTGTCAGAAGACGAGGAAAACTCTTTTGCTATTAATAGATTTTGACCTTAAGGAAAACAAGACACAGTAAAATTACTTTGTTCATACCAATCACTCCAACTTTGAGTGCATTAATTTCAAGAGAATTTTAGAAGCACGGAAGAAAAAAGGCATTTAAATGCCAACTGACCCATTTTTTTCCTGCACCTAAGGAAAATGTCTCCAAAAAATCCATGGATATGGATTTTCTATAATGAATAAAAAGTAGTTCTTTTACCCCACTCCACAGCTAATTTAAAGAGGATGCCCTAGTTTTTGCTTGGTGTATTTCTTTAATTGATAGAACCTCTTCTCATTGTAACTCAGAGTTACAAGGAGAAAAATACAAATTACAATACTGTTTCTACAGCCTCAGTTCACTGATTTTATTGGTGTGGCCTCTGATTAGGCTCTCATATTTCATAAATTGACCTGGTTCTCTTTTTCTGACCTGATGAAAATGACTGTCAGGCACCAACTGTACTCTGTCAGTGATGGCATAATAACTGACACTTGTTCTCTATTCTTAATAAACCTGCGAGTCAAACTACTAAAACATAGGGAAAAGACAAAGACAAATTAGTGTCTCTGTACAGTTCATATAATTAATATTTGGTGGTTAAACAAGCAACACAGCATGCTGCTTCAGTACCATTCCACTGTCTTACACCAACAAATGAATTTCTCTCATGTAAGAATAGTGAAGACCCCAAACCATTTTAGCATGGGGGGGGGGGAGGGAAGACAAAGGATGAGTGCATCATTTTATCATCTCATTTATCTCATCTGCCACAAAGCCTCGGGTACTACTTTTACCAGCTTCAAGCAAGCTGAGTGTATTTGCATGAATGGATTGTAGTGTGGCTAGATGGGGGTATTCCCCTGTGGCCAGGAATACCAAAATCCTAGAGTTACCAACAGAATCAAGTAATCCCTATTGTAACTGTGACAATTCATCCATAATGCTGCTGAGCAAGGAAATCCCACATACGTGTGCCTGTTTGCAAGAGCTGACTGAATCTTCTTTTTTGCCAAGGTCTCAAATAACTCTTAACTCATGCAGGAAGCCAGCATCCTCACTTTCCAGTAACACTTCCCCACCCAAAGGTTTCACGCTTGCAGAATCTCACAAAACCAACACACTGTTGGCAGGATGCGTAGGCAGAGATGGGCTGTTCCTACTTACTGAGGAGGAAGGGATGGGAAGAATTGAGCAGATTTAAAAAACAAAAAACACACCTAGAATGCTGCTAAAACAGACCAGGGTCTTTTGAGACTAGGTGGCCCTATTCTGCTTCTGGTTTCCTGCAAAACACTAAACTGAAAAGTGGACATTGGTTTAGTCAAATATTTGCCTTCCATTGGCTCCGATCATCGCCCAACATGATCCTAAAGAGCGTTTTTCTTCTCAAGATTGCAAACAAAGGATTATGAGGCGATTCCAATTCAAATTGTTCAAAGTTTCCTTTGATGTTACATAACATCCCACACTTGAAGGGCACGCTGCCAGAACTGCTTGCTTACTTACTCTGATCATAAAAGTGCTGCCAGAAAGCCTCCATCCACTTACGAAGTTCTTCCCTGCTGTCAGTAGCAAAAAGTTGAGTCATAGCCTCTCCAGACACAGGGTTGATAACAGAAAAATTATTAGTTCTTTCCTTGGAGTCCTTATCCACAGCTCGAATTCTGGTTTCCTAAGAATGACAACAAGCTGTGGTAATGAGTTACTGCTTCAGCTCAACATTTATATCACCTTATGGCCAGCAACAGTATAAATGGAGGTATCATTTGGCTGTTTATCTAATCCAGATTAACTTCCAAAACAAAACAGAAACGCCACATCCCTAAGGTCAGGATTAAAAATTACCTAATATAGGAAAGATAAGGGAACGGAACAGAGTTACTGCACTATCGTTACACCACGTTTATGCTTGCCCTTCCCTTGCCTTCACTAGTTCATCTCATGCAGTTCGTCTTTCTTCAGAATAGTTTGGCAAGTAATCTAAAGTAACAGCAAGCAGCTCCTTTTCTCTGAAATCTTAATCTGGTCAACCACATTCTTATAGCTGCTCTTTAGGTCTCCTACCATACTTCTCTGTGAGCCATTGTTGGTTTTCTGAGATACATTCTAAACTTCTTTACATTCATTCCAGTCCATCAGGACATTTTGCTAATACTGCCATGACAGGAATTTTTAAAAAGAAACTTATCTTGCCCACACTTAAAGGAGCATTTGTACCCATAAAGTTCTACTAGAACAAATTCCCAACATGAAAATAATATTTTGCTCTAATAGCAAAAAGCCTATTTGTTATTTCAAAATAAACAGTTTGGTTTTGTCTTCTTTAGGCAGAGCTACATAGAAACAATTAAAAATATAGATATGACAATGTATCACAAGTAAATCAGGTTTCTTCAGCTAACGTGAAGAACGCTCTCAAATTATGCAGCAGTACTGTTACAGACAAGAGTTTCTCTTCTGTTCAGGTACATGGTTCAACCGATTTTATGATCTAGACTGGATCCAGTGGTATTTTTATAGTATCTAGTTTGTCCACTGTGGAATTACAATACAAAATAGCACTACAATACAAAATTATCCCTAACTGAATGAAATAAATACTTTGTGTAAGATACTGAAAGATTTTACTAAAAAGTCTTACAAAACACAACAAAAAAATTCTCCAGAACAAAGGTGGACAACACTACTGCTTGTTACAACACTGACAGTGAAGTGGAAATAAAGTAATTAACATAAATTTACAAAAGTAAAAGCAGCACCCCCTAAAGTATCTTTGCATTTCACAGTGACTGAACAAGGAATGGGCTATCACAACACTGCTCTTTAAGGAAGGTTTTGGGAACGTGCTGGGGAGCAGCGTGCTCCCAGTTGCCCTGTGCTCTGCACTGGGGAGCAGGCCAGTGCCCGGGCGGGCAGCAAGCTGAGCAAGGCGCCAGGCCACCCCGCATGCTGCGCCGCCACGTGAGGCTGCACTCCGCCACGGGGAGCCTCCGAGAGCAATGGCTACAGCCAGGATTGTGGTGGAGTATTTCCCATCTGGAGGGACAGTGAATCCAGTCCCAAGGGAGGCCTCCAGGTGCTCCTCAAAATGCAGTGAAGACATATCGACCATGCTCCTTTTTACACAACTCAATTCAACCAAATGTTAAACATCTGCTGCAGATGTCAAATATACACCTACAGAAATTAAGTTTATACGTTGGATCCCATGGGGATAAGCCTAGTTCTGATACTCAGAAAAACAAAAATTACTTTACAGAACATTCCCCAGATTTTAAATGCATTACTGAGGTAAGCGCTTGAAATACTAACAGCTGCTTGTAGCATATCTGATGGATATGCTCATTTAAATTCTTCTGTCTAAAAATAGGAGATGAAGTAATTCATCCATAAGTGCTCTATATCCCATTAACTCAGGTAACCATAGATACCAGCAAAAAATTAAATCAAATAGATTAACATTTGACAGGTAAGAACTTCAAGCATACCATACACAGAAGTTTATTTAATGATGTTTGCTGCAGGTTTTATCCCACGACTATGTTATTATTCAGAGGAGATAAATCCTCAAGCAACAATCTACGCCTGACACTTGAATATTTAAGGAGTGATACAAGATGCCATTACAGTAATGGGGTGATGAATTTACCAAGCTTGGGTGAATTACACTACAAGCCCAGTTTCATTAAAAGTAAAGTGTCTTAAGCTGCCATGTTATAATAGCGTCTAACCTTTCCCACCTTACAGACAACTGAACTAACTCTGCTACAGCTATTGTAAAGACCAGAACAGTCAGTTGACTGCAGCAGAGAAAACAGAGTTCAATCCTTAGGAACTGAAGTGACTCCTTTGGGAGGCTGAAGGCAGTGTTATGTTATACATGCAAAGAGATTGTGGTTGGTTTGTTTGTTTGTTTTCTGGGAAGGTAGGGAAAAGCATGAAAGGGGAAATGATAGATTTTGTTTTAATATAAATTGGAACGTTCCTCCCTACCTTTGCTCCCAAATCAAAAATTCAGAAATTTTCTTTGCCTGACAGCACTCTTCTGGAAAGCTCACCTGTTAAGCAGGGGTTCAGCACTTTCCTGCTAAGCCAGTCCTGACAAACTGAGACGCAAAGTGCTTATAAAGATCATTTCAAGACATCAAAACAAACTATACTTCTTAGGACAAACACTGAATAGTCTAAAATCCAGCTCTATGCATCTATTTTAATCACACATGGTTTGTTTAATCTTAAACAAACTTCATTTATGATTTTCATACCAAAAAATAAACCAAGAAATAAAGAAAACAGCATTGGAAACAAAAATATAATCTGCTCATGTGCTACTTTTTGCTGTAAAGTCAAAAATTCCCATGGGATTTTTTTTAAGCAAGTAGGGAAAAAATGGTTAAATTTAAAATCATGTCTTTCAAACATATTAATACATAAAACGGAATCCACTAGATCAGCTATGGACATGTCCTTCATTCATCTGCATTGTTTTGTGAACTTGTACTAACGTAACATCCATGTGGCAACTAGATGGTAAATATAATGTGGTAAGTATAATCTGGAAGAACAATATTAGGATTGCTATGTCGTTTTAGTCGTCTTCGGTGTAATGCAACAGCTAAAAGCCAGGAGAGGAAGACGGCATTATACGAGCAGCCAACGTTCTGTGGAGCACCAGGGAGCCATAAAGCATAGTTTCATAACCACTCAATTTAAGCATTTGTGTTACAAGGTCCACCATGTGGGATCTGGATATATCTACTTCCCCTGCCCAAATCCACAATCTCTTTCAAGCAATTGCAGAACTAAATTGAACAATGTGACATGAGATACTAGAGATATTTGGAAGCATTTAACTAATCTGTGCTGTTCCAATATATTTTCACATGTGTGAAGGCTGGCCTAAGCCAGCTAGCGGGATAAAGACCTTACTGCACAGAGCATGAACATAATCAGAGCTGTCTTGGTTTGCCAGTGGCGGAGTTCCCTGGCACACACGGTGAATGGAAGACGACTGAGCAGAAGAAAGCAGAGGAGACACCTGGTAATAGTTAGTGTAGGGTAAACTCATGGGAAAGAGCCCCTACAACGCAAGATCCAAGGGAAATGTATTTACAGACGTGTGCCTGTATCACTGCCTGTGCTCCCTCACGACCTCACGCTGCAGACAGGCTCAAAGCAATCCCTGATGAGCATGAGCAGGCTGCCACAGTTCAAAGCCTGGCCCTTCGGACAGGCAAAGCATCATCTATGAAAGGCCGCTACTTAAGAGCATCTCCTAGTCCCACCACTTTTTTGTTGTTGTTTTTAACTAAAACTGATATATTTGGGGACATCACAAGCAAATGAGTTGTCCTTGGTACAGGAATGACTTCATTTTTCATAGAGACAGCTCTTTTCAATGCTTGTGTGCCCCCTTTCTCCTTCCTGCAGCAAAGTCCTCGATCTACTGTCCCACCCCACGCTGCTGGAGCAATCTATTTTGGCCATAGCACACTCAGCCCTGCTCCAGGCTCATACTGACTGGAGTCCACCCCTATGTTACAAAGCTCGGGTAGACAAGATTGTCTCTTCTATTCCTGACAAGGCTCACTTTCACGTGCCAATCATAATATCCCATGTTTGTTTGTGAATTCTTGTAAAGATCCAGGATGCAGCAGTACTCCCTTTAATGAAAGGGTATCTGCTACCACCTGCATAGGGAACATCCAAGTTCACACACCCACGCAGCAGTTAGAAAGAACAGGTGTGAAGGAGCAACTCCGCCCCTTCCCAGGGCTGGGCTCAGGGCCTAGTCAAACAGCAGAAATCAAGATACTGTAACAAGACTTCTAGCAAGACATCTACTACTTGTCCATCCTATGAGGAAACAAACCAAATATTTTAGGACTGCTACTATTAAAGCACCAACATTTGTCGGAAATACTGTGCAGCACCCTCAAGGCAATTGGCTCATAACGTGAACCACTGGCTCATGCACCAATTTGCTAAACTATCACATGCAGGCAAGGCCTTTATTAGCCATTTCAAATAAAAAAACTTCTTAAATTTTAGGAACTGGTCCATAAGGAATGTTTCTTGTGCAGGTTGGATTCCAGCAAATTTTCTTTGCTGCAGAAAATACTATTTCTCTCTTCCTACTTAGTTGTACAATATAACGTGTTATAATCACATTTAGTTGCAACAATAATAGTAACACTTGCAAAATAGGAACTGCAGAGCCTAAGACATTCTGGCTCAAGCGCAGTGGCAGGGAAGTCATCTGACTTTGATGGTCTTAATGGTCACTTCAATTCTTGATTCAAAGGGGAGGGAAATAAGTCTGTGTGAATATGTTCCAGAGTTTCTCATAAAGTTCATTTCATTACTTTTCAGAAAGCATCTTTCAGTCCCATGTTAAAAGATCAGATTCACATTACAAGTAAAAATACCACATATGCAGCTAGAAGAGATTTTAGTTAGAATATCTGGAATTGATGTTAAATCTCAACTTTGATTTTGAAATTGCTGTTTCTGCAACAACATGTAGTAGACAAGCCCACATGGTTAGTTTAGTTTGCTTTCACTTAATCTATAAGAAAAGTTTCAAAAATAATCTACTGGTGTTAAAATTATTTTCAAGAGAAACTGTTTAAGTAGTAAAGTATCCAGATACATTACAATTGTGATTTTTTTTTATTTAAATTGAATAAGGATTCATAGTTACTCTCCAGCAGTCTGACATTTTCATAAAATGGTATAAGGTATGTCATTTATGGACTTTATTCGTGTTATCTTTAAGGATACTCTACAAACATGGACCTTCTCCTAGTAAGAGCTTATTAAGTTGGATATTAGACTGTAAGTGCATTGGTAACTTGGAGGAACAAAACACTTCAGTACAATATTGTTGTTCTGAAAGAAAAAAAAAAAAGCAAAGCTAGGGTATAAACCAAAACAGTGACTTCCAAGGAAAGATTAGAGAGCTAGCCTGACAGATTAATATTAAAAAGTGTTCCTGTCACTTTTTAAAATACGGATTTAATCACCCTGTATTTCACTAAAGTTTATCATATCCTAACTGATATTGTGAACAAGTGGAAAACAAGTAGAAGTATGACAGACTACTGCAATTAAAAGTGACTGAAGGCAACTGAAAAAGTGACCGAAAGTGTTTAACACATGGAAACAAAGTCCTTACAGTAACAGGCCACATGGTTATCCCTGGTTTATAGGTTTTGTTTATATAAGTCTGAGTCTAGGTAGGAATCCAATTATAGTTTTCCACAAGCTTTAAAGCCACTAAAAGCCAATACTGCTGTTTTAAGAAGCTGTTCTTTGTTATTTTACATCTGTATGAATTCCCAGTCCTAGTCCATCTCCTTTCTTGAACTACACAAGTGTTTTTGCAGCCATGTAGTGAACTGAATAAGATAATTTATTAAAGGAAACCACAGTTGAAATCCAACCCTCCTCTTCGCCCCCAGATAAGTTAATTTTAACCCACATCAGTTCCCTAGTCCAATTCATCAGTCAGCCGCCTTAATGCATGTCCTGGCATAAGGCAGCATAGCAGCTAGAATGAGCAACTGGAGGGCAGGAATACTTTCAAAATTAGTGTTGGCATCAAGCGTTCACAGAAGCGCGGCATCAGAATCCAGATCAAGCTGTGCTTAACATAGTTTCCAAACGTGTCTATTTACTTATGTATGATGGATCTAGCTAGGTCAGTTGCAAATAATACTAAATTCCTCTGCTCATCCTCATGTAATATTAACTCTTGATAACTGCACCAAAAGCATTCTCTGAAAGCATTTGCTCTCCCTAATGCTCTCCCTTCTAGAAAATCTTTCCAATAGCATTTCTAAGTTGAATACTTAAATAATTTTAAATATTCAATTTTAAGTAAAGTTTTATTATTTGGCTAAAGAAACAACTGTGTTTTAAATCCAGACTTTACCAAACAGGGCATTGAAAAGCAGTAATAATGTCATCCTAAAGAACAGACCTTCCCATGTTGTTGTGCCCTGTACAAAACCAGTATTAAGAAAAGCAGCTCATTTTAAGGCACTAAAATATTTTGAACAACTTTCCAGCTCTCCTTCTAATTAAGGCTGTGACCAAATAACATGCAAAAAACAAAAAAAGCTTTTGTCAAAATTCCGTCTTATGAGGACAAAAGCCTACCAGAGCACTGCTAAAAGACCAGAAGTAACAAATTTCCAAAGCCTCTCTTACAGAAGAGTCACGTAAGAAGTTATCACTTCTCAAGAAAAATATCCTTCTTTTTTCTTCTATGCCAATCAATCTAGCTCAATAGAAAGAACTTCTGTCCTCAGCTAAGAAATGCAATGTCTCTTCTAAAAAATTCAGTAAGTGCAAATTTCACTGAAGCTTATCCCATCCACATGCTACCTATAAAACTTTCTGCAGATCAGCAACTTGGAGCCCAAATAAATCTAGGTATGTCTTAAAACAAAAACAAGCAAAAAAATCCAACCACCCTACTTCCAAACCCACCCCCCCAAAACCATATAGTCTATTTTACCTTGTTGATGGAAACTGTCAACGCTGGCTCCAGTTTAGCCTCAATTTCTTCTGGTGAGTAATAGCAAAAGAGTTTGCCACCTCTTAGTATGCAATACAGCCTCCTCCAGTTAGTCAGACTTCCCATCGTTTGCTAATGGGAAGAAATAGTCAGAAATTGCTAAACAAACCAGCGAAACCTCAACCTGAATCACATATTACTAAAACAACAACAAAAAACCACACACACCATGTCATTGAATCAAATTAAGACCAAGGTATACATATACAAGATACACACAGATCAGCCTGTGTGACCAAAACTATCCACACTGAATGCTTTCCTTAAAGAGAGAGAGAGAGAGAGAGAGAGAGAGAGAGAGAGAGAGAGAGAGAAGGAAAAAAGAGACTTCGTGGCAGAATATTTCAGAACCATTGACTTCTGAAACGTTACTAATGCTTTATTTGTCTTTTGGTGTTTTACAGTTTTCCCAGTTTTATTGTCTTGTGACATTCAGAATGTAGGATTTGCTGCTTTGGACAGACAGACAGACAATCGCCTTCTGTTGGTGTCTACCATAAAAAGAAACTACCTTGATTAACTACAGTAATTACAGAAGAAAAGAAAGAGTACCTCACTTTGGAAAAAACATACACATTTCAGACATTCAACAGAAACATTTACATAGAATTTCTGCTTTCTCAAATGAATTTTCTGAACAGTTTTCTTAAATGCATTGTAATTTCATGGCCAATTTAAACCCCTTTATTCAGCACTCCTGACAACTGACCCAGCCCCTCTGGCTATCTTCTTATTTGTCTAGTTTTGTGATTAACCAAAAGAGAGAAGTAACTGAGTTCAATTGAACCATTTTTGGAGAGATGAGCTTACATGTGGCTCAGTCCCCCAGTCAGATTCGCCATGTTGCGTGTGAAACGAGCTCTTGTGCTAGCACAGTGAGAGGGGCTGTACAAAGATGAGAGCCCAGGGATTATTAGGACTGCTGTTATCAAGTACAAGCCCAAACTGATTCTGAAATGACAACCATAGTTATCCTGTATGTAACTGCCTAAATAATTTTTAGGGGTAAGCACATCAAGGAAACATTTGTTTCTTCACTCTTAGCCACTGAAGTCACTGCTTCCAAACGGTAGCAGAGAGATAAAACTCCCCCTGCTACCTGTATGTAGAGCAGGTTTAAAAAAAAAAAAAAAATCCATTCTCAAGAAACCATTTCAGGAAAAAGCAAATACTATAACAACTGACTCCCAGTGACAGCTATTAATAGAAGAGGATATAAACAAAAGCGAGGTCTTTTTACCTGCTGATTAAGAAATCCTGCCATCATATCCTTAGTCATGCAAGAGGGCTGAGCAACTAAACGGCAACACATATTTCCATACAAGGGGAGCCAGAAAGAGGATTCCTCTGAGGGTAAAGGATAGGGAAATAAAATACAAACATTTAGTTCTGAATATTTCCCCAAAAATTACAGTTTAATTTTCTACACCCATTTTTACATTCATAAGGTCATGATTGTAAAGAAACATTCTTTACGTTTAAAGAGACCTCTTAATATAGATTACACTAAAACTGATTTTTAGTCCTCAGTATTTAACTTTCTTTTTACCACCAGAAGTTATAAAAAAAATTCCAAGTAAAAACAAATACTGCTTTGCAAGAACAATTTGTTCTTATGTAAAATCTCATTTCACATTTTCACACAAAACATTTTGAAAGATAAGTATATTGGCCATCTCATCTAGTAGGATGAGCCCATCCCATCGTGGCATACAGCTACGTTTACTCATGAGTACTTAGCCCGACTGTTTTATTGAGGCGCAGCACTTGTATCTGCTTGTTCGACTAGAAGATCATCTAGAATTTCAAGGAGCGTCTTATAAATAGCAATATCTCTCCTCGTTCACCTCTGCTATATAATAGGCTCTCTTCTGTAATTAGAGGCAGGTAATACAACGTTCCAACAACATGACTCTGACTTTAGTCATGTTTCAGAAATGCCTGTAATGAACCAAAACATTCAGATGTCTTTTCTCACTAGAGTAAGTTATGTAAATTAATGACAGAAAAAGGAATTTGAAGAAAAAGTCTAAAGTACTAATGAAGAAAGGCTTACAAATATCAAAGATATTCCAACCTCTTCATCCAACTCTTCAGGAAACAAATGCCTCAAATCTTCAAACCTTTACTTATTCAGAATAAATGAAGCGCAAAGATTGAAATTCTCTTTGGGGTGAAACTTATCTATGTTAAAGTTCCCAGAAGCTACAGTGAAATATCAAGTCCTATGTCTTAATTTAATAATTGGGGGGAGGGGGGAACCTTTAAGGAAATAGTGGATGGAGTATCCCAAAACTGTACTCTTGCTACTTAAAATGCTGCATTCTGTTGTCACATAGTCATAGCCCCAGCCCCCAAGTTAGCGTTTAGGTTGAGTGCTGCTACTAGCAACTTCTACTGTTCCAAAGCTAAAATCCAGGAACTGAGGTAAACGGCAAGCACACATGCTTATGTCCAATGTTAAACTAGGACCTGAAACAGCCTAGCTGAGTTAAAGCTATTTTTCTGCTTTCCTTTTGACTGCACAGGAAAGAGGTTCTCTTCCCTTTGACACACTTCCTTGCTTGTGAGGAAGGGGAAATAATTTGTATATGGCTACACCTTGCATAAGGCTGAGATGCAAATGCTAGAAGAAACTCCCAAATGAATTAAGTTTTCACCTGGACTCAAAACTTTACAATTCAACTTTTAGTTTATTCAACTGTGTATAGATGCATGTTTTGGAGCAGTTAAAATATTTTATTAAAGTGGTTCTATATTAAGTATCAAGAAAAATAACCCCTTTAAGCTCTTTAGTTTACAAGAGAGAGAAATGCAAAATATTACTGTTTGCTTTATTTCCTGAAATAGGTACCATCTGTACTTACCATTTCCTGTAATGGTAAGGGTGTGGGTCCTGAAATTGTCCTCAGCACTCTCCAGCCCCAAAGTGGTATATGCCAGCAAACTGTATTTTGCTCCACTAAATGTGAAAGAAAAGGCATGTTTAAAACATTTGCACCCCTCGGGCAGTTACTTAAGGGAGTCTAGACATGCCTGAGAACACATTGGGGGAGTGTGGAGATGCAGGGCAGCACCTGTCAGTGACCACAGATCACCTTCTCTCAACCTCTTCCCCCAGAAGACCTCTATCTCCAGTTTTCCCTTGTAAACCAGAAGCATCCCACAGTACGTTCAGCTGCTTCTTATATCCTTATCTCCTCCCTCCATTTCCAGGCCCCGCCCTATCCCATTCAACACCACTCAGCCCCATCAGCTCAATGGCCTTAGCTCTTCGCACATGCACTGCTCTTGGACCTTCCAGCCGGGAGGAGGCATTGCGGGTGGCGACAGCTCCGAGCTGGGCTCCTGCTCGCTGGTGGAGAGCCAGCCTCTGCCTTCCAGCTGCAGCCACACCCAGGCACAAGGGCTGTACTTTCCAAGCTCTCTGCTCCCTGAGGATGCTGAAAGGATCTCTTCCCCTCTAATCACACACTAAGTAACTTTTAAAAGCTTTGCAGCTTCCCTCCCTAAATAGGTTAAAACACTGTTGTAGCCAATAGAGAGACTGATCACACAAACCTCCTCTTATTTGAAAACATAGGCTAAAAGTTAAAAAGTTTTATACTGCTCCTCCATGTCGCCCTACTCTTTTGCTTCAACTTTGTAGACTAATATATATAACAAGCACGTTATGAAGATTATATATATATATATATACACACACATATTAACTTAGTATCCAATAGTTTATTTCTTTGTATGCAGAAAGAAACTTTTGCAGTAATATAGAGTCCTTACAGTCAGTTATATAGCATAAAGGGACCCTTTCAATTATTGTGCTTACAGACTTCAGAATGTTATATCTTTGTTTTGGATCTTGCCTAGGGGAAAAAAAAGAATCACATTTACAATTCAGCACAGTGCATGTGGAATGTAATTCTTGGAATAAACTAGTATAAATCTGGTGCATGTTTAACCTTTTCCCCCAAAAAACTCTTCAGTCAGAGTAACAGATTTACAGTCCAGCAACACAGTAAGTATTCCACCTGGCTAACGGCAGTTTAAACTAAGCTCACAAAAAAAAAAAACCCAAACCACTTAGTATCACTAACTACTCTCCCTAATAGATCTAGCATCATATCCTTAAAATATCTTCAGTCCAGCTTAAGACAGTTTAGTGGTGTAAAACACAAGATAGTATGGGAGTCACTTAACAGAGTATTTTCTATAGCAATATTTTTCAAAAAAATTTTGTTATAGCAGAGTGGGAACATACTACTTTAAATGCAGGCTCAGCAGAGGGACAAGGCAGATGCCAACTTAACCCTAATGACAGGAGCAGGTTAAAGTCATAAGATTATTAGCAGGGACAGCTATTACACATCTATTTCAAGGGAATAATGAGAAAGTTGAATACGACATAACATTCTGGGCAAAGGACGACTGCTATAAAACATTTCAAGAGTGCCATGTGAACAAAAAACCTGGATCAGCATATGTATATATTCCCTACTAAACTCTTCCACAGCAACAGATTCTCAAATGACTATATTTTGCCATCCAATTAAGCAATAACTGCTCTATTGAAACTGTACAAAAAATTCAGTTATTTCTCACAGATAAAACTTTGTGCTGATTTTCAAGTTACTTTATTTCTAAAGCATGACTAATTGCCACAACAACTTCGCCAAAAAACACAGCTACTTCACTTTTAAAATATGCTTCACAGTAACATTTTCTTTCTAAAACAAACATAACAGTCATTCCTTTCAGCCAACTTCAATATAATTTCAGAAAGTTTTATCTGCCACTATTTTTCAAATTTAACAGGCTAATCACAATTGTTGACCATGCTTTGCCTATATGTTTGACAGAATTAGCCAACTGCCTTAAATGGCAATTTCTTTGCCTATAACAAAATAATCTGCCTGCTGCATCTCATACAATACTTCTTATTTCTATAGTATTCTTCCATGTAATAACTTTACGTTTTACAGAACATCAGCTCATATCCACAGCACATCTGTGGATGAGGCTCACTGTCAAATCTGTTTACTGATCAAGAGACAGAGGCACCAAAGTTGCTATCCAGACACTGGCATGGGAAGGTGTCACTATGTCACCTGTTCTTTTAATGCAGATTGATTAATGCATTTTAGATTACAGAACCTGTTTTTGAGGATTAATCCCAATATTAGAAGTCCCAGTCTTAGTACACTCATCCAGCTATTTAGAGTGAAGGATTTACAAATCAAAAAAGTCTAACATTCACCCTCCAATCAAACCTTAAATAACGAAAGGTAAAAACAAATAATCTTCAGATACTGAAGCAGCAGCCAGTTAGAAAAATTAGGCAAGTAGATTAAACTACGTACATCTAGCAACAGATTACTATGATTTTTCCAATTCAAAAATAGGACACTGAAGCCACGCCTCCAGCCCAATGGAGGACAACACATAAAAGGCAATACCAACAAGGCCATACGTAGACCAGCTCTGCAAGTGAATAAGCATGTGCTCCAAGGAGTCCCTCAGATGACTTCTCCAAAGGGAAACGTATATCTGCTGGAATTCCATAGTATACCTGGACTAAATCATCTTCTACGACAAATGTAAAAAGTAAAAAATAAAGATTTGAAAGGGAGAGAATAGAAAACTGAAGTGGGTAAAAGGCTACACAAAAAATGAAAAAAGCAGTATTTACAGCAAGATAATTAAGACTAGAGAGCATCAGTATAACTGAAGTTAACAAATCTAAGCAACCATTCAAAGCGCTTTGTCATTAAGCTTTTGCGAGAAGCTACAAGCCTGACAGCTTCCGCACTAAACATGGAGATTTCTAAGCCAAGTAGTTTGACACAAAAGGATTACAGAGTTTACAGAAAAGTAACAACTTCATCCCATGTGTGCTCTGAAAGGAAAAAGGCCTGTACAAATGAAATCTAAAGAAAAAGTGTTCATAAAATGAGGACTTTGGGGGAGGGGGAAGTTAATTTCACCTGATGAACTTCAGATAGGTAAAATGCTCCGAGACTACTTGAAAGATACAATCTCTCCCCTTCTATAAGGGCCACATACCAAGATCTTACTAATATAAATCCCAAGGGAAAGCTATCTAATATTGACAACGCATTTCAGGCTTCTAATAACATACTTCTTTCCAAGAATCTTTTTTGTAATCACCTAGCAAAGTCATCATTAAACACATCACTATTCATTCAACCCTGTTAAGTAGTAACAGTCACTATGAGTGATTTACACTGGAAGCAGCATCAGACTTTGAGATGAGGGAAAGAAAAATACAATAAATTACATCCAAGAAACCAAAAGCAAAACCCCCAGGAGGAGATACACTATTTAGATTCTCTACTGATGCTTCTTCCTTAAAGAAATATAAATCTATATTCAAGTAAATATGGCTAGAAAATAAGCTAGTGGTTATATATGAAGCAAACTATATCTAATGAAGTTGGGTAGTCACTCAGCCGGAGCTTGTGAAAAAGCTAATCTGCATGAGATAATGCATATTGAAACATACACTGTCATTCGGCGGAACACATTGGAAAGGTAGTGATAAAATTGACTTTGCTCTGTGGATAAGATCTCTGGGATGTATATTTTTAAATGAAAGCCAATAGAGTAATATCAGTTTGACAAAGATGCAATATGCTTTAATGTTTCCTTTTATAAGCACACAAATAGATTTATGAAGCAAGACTAAAACCACACTCAAGAACTTGCAGGAATTACATATTAAGTTCCCACTGTCCAGCCACAAAATAAAGTAATTCTTTGTAATAATTGTGTTCTAAACAACATTTAATATTATTAGTATTTACAATTTAGGCGCTTTCTGCTTAAGTCATAATGAAATTAAAGTGGCTAGGAAATACTAGTAGGCAGTTAACTTCATTAAAAATGCACAAAAGATCATAGATCGTTTTTAAACGAAAACACAGGAGAACTATTGGAAACAGCACTTATTTCTATGAACACTGAAAACCAGTAAGTCATTTAAGAATGTTCTGTGCCACAGTCAATTAAGGAGACTCCTGTTAAGTGGCTAGGAACCATAAAATGCTTTAGGCAGCTCACAATTGAGCTGAAAAGCCAGTAAGCGGAATGGCCCCTGTGTGCACAGCACGCATCCTCAGCGCAACAAACAGCTCTGTCGGCTTCATCGGGGCAGAGGGTAAATGAAAGATGTCTCGCATCTTCCCACCACACTATTTCATTACACAAAACTAACTTTTTGACATGCCTACCTTGCTGTCAGATACCTTGCTGAATGGGCTAGGTGCAAAAGTAACCTTGGGGAAGGGAGAGAATGGAAAAGGGAAAGAGAGGTAGATGGACAGAGGGACACAGACAGACTGATCACACAAACTTCCTCAAGACATTGAGGTAAAAGTATCACTTTTGTGATTAATAGTGGATTTGACAGCTGTACAGCAGAAAGATTAAGTCTACTCATATGTTCAAAGATCAGAACCAGGCCCCAAGGCTGAGCTGTATAGCTGGAATTCACACCTACTTTCTCATTTCCTATTTAAAATGTAAATTTTATTCTGCTTGGGCAAGTACAGAAATAATCACTTTCTTGGAAATCTCCAAATATTGACAATGAATGTGGCCTATTTCTGGGGGGATAAAAAGATAAAAAGACAAAAGAGAACATCTCTATTTACGGCTTACTGAATGACTGGGTCAGTGAGCAAAAGGGATTCTGGGCTGTCTTCTTCCAGTGTAGCTCTGAGTTTCTTCCCGGTGGCTTTGCTGATGGATGTTTTAAACTTCTTTGCTAGTTTCTTAGGAGTGTTTGTTATGTATAAAGACTCTTCTGTACAGCAACTGTACACTTCAACCTTCACCTGGAAATCTGGTCCTGCTTCATCACTGAAGAGGGTAGGGGAATGGAAAAAAATTCAGGGCGTTTCTTAATTGAGTATACAGTCAAGGAATGCTGCTGCTACAGTACATACATATATTAAATAACCTGCATCGCAAATCAAGGCAAAGAATTCCATCAGATTCAGACAAATTCAAATAGAATTAAAGACAGCAGTACACAGCAGTAACTTAGTATTGAAGTCATGAGATGGATGTTATAATTAAACCATAAACAATTACAAACAGGAAATTCAATGTTTAGGTTTAAGATCTGGGAAAAAAGAACGTCATGGAAATACACAGGAAGACATTCACACACTTAATTCTGGCCTCCGCTATTATGCAAAAAAAAAATCATATGATTGAAAGCCTATTCATGCCCGGGGTCCCAAATCAGACTGGACTGTTTTAAAGATATCACTCACCCCCACTCCTCTTCACACTACCACAAAAATCCTATTTCACTCAACACCACCAAAATTTGTCATTCATAACAGCAACTGTCTTCTGCTGCGTTCTTCTGTTCACAGCCTATGCTTTCTCTGGTTTTCAGTTCTCCCAGTTCTGAAGTTCTCAAGCTTAGTCAAACCCAAAAACCTAATCTCATCTTTCAGGTACAAATCATACCATTACACATGTGCCTATAAGGAAATGATCTTAAAGGCTTTTATCAAAAGCCTTTCTTTATCTCTGAAAATACAAGGGAAGCTTGAGTGCCTTTTCTGCTTTTGCCATAGTATTTCACAGAAAATAATGGTCAATTCTCATATCTTTCAAGAATCAGGTTTAAATATTTTCCCCTACTTCTAACTTGAACAGCTTTTCAAAAGGGGTTTAAAGTCTGATTCAGAGATCCACTCTCTCTCAACCATTCAGTTTTCATGATCTTGATTTAATGCTTGAGTGGTTCTAGCTCTCCAGACAGTCTTCCAGGGGATACAATCTGAATTGCTAATGTAAAAAACAAATTTTGAAAAAAAAATTTATGCACCTCTCAGGACTCTGTTAAAAATCCTAAAGCAACAAGAAAAGGCACATGAGCACACCTTTCTACTCTTCTCCAGGTCACCTTTAAAGATAAGTGAATACTCTCCTGTCTAATATTCTTCAACTATTAGGATTGTGACTGTAGCACAGGCTCATATAGATGTAACAGAACATGAGGTGGAGAAAGTGACGCCCTTTTTTAAGGGAGATTGGACTTAGGCAGAACCGGAGAAGAGACAGTAGCCTGCAAAATGGAATAATACTTGAAACACTGGATGCAATGATTGTGACAGAAGTGTACTTCTATAATGCTTTCAGTTTAAAGTATTAATTTAATTCTGTCCTTGACTTACAAGTTTGTTAGTTCCTTATTCACAGAAAAAGGCTTCCAAACAGCAGAAAAGAAAGAATATAGCTGAAGTGTCATATCTGAACAGCACCATCATGCACGTAAAAAAAAAAAAAAAAAATCAGCTTTCCAGAGGAGAGGATCCACCATCTCCTGAAATCAACAGGACCTCTACTGATTTCTTTCCCCAGAGGAAAACATAGTGGACCTTATCTAACCATATTCCTAATCATACCCACTTTCAAAACAAAAAAAAGATATATTTGTTTTATTGAAAACAAATAAATTTTACTTACAATATGGTTACATTCCCAAAGCAGATATCCGTTATTGCTTTATCCACAATAGCCACCTCCGTATCAAAAACCTCAGCTCCCATTCTGAACAAACAAAACACTGCATAGCGCTGTGATTCTGAGAAGAACCAAAGAAATGTTTTGCTAGTGATATTACACATCAATACCAAATGTTTCCTGTAAACAAAGTATAAGTAATGGTAACATGAACCCCTAAGGAATTGCCCCAAAATTATTATTGTAAAGTTTATATTGTGTTATAATAATTGAACAATCAAAACCGCACTACGGGTAGAACAACATTTGCAGAGGGAAAAAAATGCCTACTTCTGTTCAACTTGATACTCAGCAGCAATATGCACTAACAACTTCAGAAATATTAGTAAAAAGGTAATTTTTAAACATAACTGATTTTAAGCAAAAAAGTACATGTGATCCAAAGCTTAATCTTATATAGCACATTAAAAATGCTATAGACTATTTTGCCATGCTTAGCCCTTCTGACCCTATTGAAAAGCAGAGTGAAATCAATGCCAGGTGACAGCTGGAACAGATTTAGGGTTAATCTCCATGACACAGCAAAATGCATGTACTTTAAGACTATCCAATAATCCACTCGGCACCACCAGACAACTTTCATTTAAATTTCTCACTGGAAACAGCCTCTAATATTCTCTCTCAAGTGTAGACAAGAGGTAGAACAACATGTTTAATCAGGAATTTCTCAGCTATCCAGTTAATAGAAACAGAAAAATGTTGTTTCCTCTGGAATTTCTCCTCAGGAGGACTTTCAGGAGACTACAGAGTTTAAATATACAGAACCACGGGACTTTGAACTACCGCCGCTTGCTACAATCGCCGACTTCAAATTAAGAGCTACTATGCAGCAAGCGCAGTTAAAAATGGATTTTCAGAAAGGTCAAAGAATGGCATGAAATGTGCGTGGACTCCCTCACCCAGTTTAGAATTTAAAGGTATAAGCAACAGCTTATCGTTATAGTTCTATACATCTTACATACTTTCTTTATTGCTGAAGTGATCAGAGCCTTTCCACATCAATGGTATTCGAATATCTAAAGGAAAAAAAAAAAAGAGAGAGAAATTGCATTATAGGCAATACTGTAGATCTGTGATCAAAATAAAATACAAAACGTTTCTCATTTGTTTTCTTGATCCTGTTACCTCCAGAACGTCTTCTACCCAATGCATAGCATAACTACTTCAATTTTATTATCAATGCCAAAAGAAAAATAATCACTTAGTTCAACTGGAAGAGTCATCTTCTTTTATAAATTATGCTAGGGTGAAGAATATTTTAAATCTCTTCTGAAAATACCTGAAATTACATCAGAGAGGCTGTGTAACATAGTGCTGACAGGTGTTTCTGTCCATTATTACACAAAGACATAAACTGAAACTTCACCTAGCTTAGCTTGTGCTGGAAACCACTTATCTACCTACAGGAAGAAAATCTTCCCGTTTTAAGGGAAAGATTGAGATATTTATTTTGCAAAGTCTTGTTCTGCCAACCACAAAGCAAATATCACTTTTAATCACATTCCCGGTTAGAAAATTTAAGTTGAGATAAAAAATTTAGAAATCATATTTATGTCAAAAATATCCTTCTATATCAGAACATATTAGAGAGGCCACTACCGAACCATTAAGAGTCATGCCTGTCATTTAACCATTAGTAGAGTACTTTCTTCATTAACTTTCCAATTTATCTACTCAATTTGATACAGTACTGAGTTACATTTCTCTCCAGTTTTGAGAGCATAAATTAGAGATAGTGTTCCTTAGTAGCCCTTTCTTAAAGGACAAATGCGATGAGGGCTCTGTGATGCCAAAGCTGATTTCTGAAGTGCAACACAACATTACTGTAAAGCATATGCAATATAGTACATGACACAGGATGGCAGCAGTGAACAGCATTAGCTGAACCGTCTTCTGGTAAAAGTCTTCAATACTGTTGTACAGGAACATTTCTGACACCAGAGCTGATCTTCACATGAGGTAGATGGAAAAATCCACATGTAGTATGATAAGATGCAAATATTAGTGATATTTTTGCAACAGATTATTTGTCATATATTCCTATGGGGTTTTACAGCCAAACTTCTTGTTGATTTAACTGAAACTGCATAAAAATAGACACTGTTTCAGAAATAATACTAAATGAAAAAATTTACATTTAAGGCAAATTTTGGTATTACTACAGGATGTCTCATTATACATGCAATTTCAGTTCTGAAACCCACAAGTGCATCCATTTTTAAAAACATTCATAAAATCTCATGAATTTTCAACAGTGAATTGTCATATACAGTTTTAGACTGCCACAACTTCCTAAGAATCAATACCTCACCATTTTCTGAAACCGCCTTTCAGGTCCAAAGAGGCATTTTTATGGTAACCATTTCTAAAAATAGTCAAAGGTTTTTAAAATACAGAAATAGATAAAAATACACTTTAACTCAAAGCAGTTACAGAAGTTTCTCATAAAATTTGTATATACAACAAAATATAGAATTATATATAAAAAATAATTTTGTGTATATATGTGTGTGTGTATATGTATGTGTGTGTATGTATATAAAATATTCATCTCTGCCAAAGAAAAAGCACAGCAAGTTTCCTTTCTAAAAGACAAGGGTCTTAAATTTACACAGATACAAGAGAATAAAGAATTACAGTAAAAGCCTATCTGCATCTTTAATGATAGCAAGCCCTGAATGACAGTTCTAATGTGCTTAATAGTTCTTATTAACAATTAGAGCACTAGATTAAAGATTACTTCTGCATGCCACTTTTAATATCATGCAAGCTGAAAAATTTACACCTTAATCAGAAAGTCATCAGGATATAGATACTGAACTCTTTGAACAAGTTTAACATGATACTTGTAAATCAGTTTTCAATCCATTTTTCAGCTGCCATTTATCAAAAATAAAGATCAATTTTCACACATCTTAATCTCAGTTACAATTAGCTGTAAATCCATGTGGATTTAAACTGGATACATTCAAGCACTGCAATTAATCAGTTTTAAATCCAATGATTCCTTTTGACATTTAAAATAGCTTTATAAAATAATTTTAAATTACTATTATGCTTTTTGATCAACATTTAATGTATTGCCTTCTGACAAAATAATTGTTAAGATACATAAATTACATAATTTATTCTTGAAAGAGTGGGTTAACAAGTAAAACTAAAAAACAGGAAAAACATCTGGATAAGGAATGCACTCCCCACTCTTCCTGACATGTAGCTGCTCTCCTTAGGAGTAGATTCTCAGGGCCCTTGCATAGCCGTTACTGAACTTTTAATGCTGGCCACATGATCATACTATTTTGGTAACAGTTTGAGCTTCTGGCATATGCTAAGCATATGATACATTACTCCATTCACTTATAAATGTATTAATTTCCCCTAATATCCATTCCGTATATTCAGTTCTTAAATTACAAGCCCTATTATATTCCACAGATTACCACTCACTCCTCATTTCCATCCTCTTCTAGACAATTCAGTCATGACATCTCCCACTTCATTCTGCTTGTATCCCAACCATATTCTCAACAAGGCAGGCAGGCACGCATGCACATGTGCCTTCCAAACATGCAGGGCAACTCCCACTGCACATCACTGAAAGTCGGTATGCAAGAGACAGAAAATTGAGACGTGTGCTGCATTTCCTACACAGGGATTGGGAAAGATAGGGCAAGGTGGATAATGAGACATTATAGATGTGAACATACCACAGCTGTGGAAGCGGAGACAGGGCCTGAGGTGGTGTGCCTACACAGAGGTGCCTGGGCGACAGGACAACGTGCAAAGAGGGATCAGCGAGGTCCTGGTAGGACGCATGTATTAATATCACCCCAGGGGCTCCCAACCACGTCTTGCCCATAGGCTCCTGCCCCAGCCCATCCCCCACAACTGCCCACGTCCCCCAGTTCTCTGCTTCTCAGGCACAGACAGAAGAAAGTGAGGATTTAGTAAGAGGTAATCTCCGCAAGGCATAAATCTCTCAGTAGGGGCCGAGAAGAACCAGTAGGCCTTCCTGCTGCAAGATGGACCTGGCTAGGCTTTCTGACACTAGCTTCTGAAGAGGGGTGAGGCATGTTAGCATCCCAGCACACTCAGGCTTCAGCTCAGAAAGAGGTAGCTGATACCTCCTCGTCTCCTCAGTCTATGTCATACCTCTAAGGGAGGTACTAATAGAGCCCAAACCTCCCGTTTAAGGACTGCTACGTTAGTAATGATACAAAATCGTTAAAAAGTTTGCACATAATGAGAAGCAGCAAATTTTGCTCTCCTACCCTGTTGTCCCATCACCAAAATAAACTAGCTAAATGTTTCATATCCTAAACAAGTTTTTCTTACTAAAAATATTAAACAATTCTCGTGTTCTAAAAATAGTAAAGTGTATTATGCGATTCTAAAGTCTTCACTGCAGATGAGTCTATAAAGCCAAAGGGGCAACGAAAGCACAGAAAGGCAAACAGATGCTGTAATCCAACTACCATAATTAGAAAAGACAGATATACGTTCTGCAAACAGCTGTGCTGGCAGAAAAACATTGTTGTATCACATGCTCGCCACTCATCTTCTACTCATAGTCACCTTTCTTAAAGAAAGGTCAAAACATGCAAGGTAAGTTAAACAGTGGGCCCTACTACACTATTTTCTTTGTAATGAAGTAGGCCAGGGAACACAAACAGGTCTGTTACCAAAACTGGCAGAACAGCCATAATGAACAAATAAAGGCAGGCTGGACATCCACTATTAGCACAGCATATTAAGGGAGAGCCCCTCTGCAGCCTAAGTGCCAATAATGATAAATTCACGATGCTGAAGTTTTAAAACAGGCTGGAAAACAGCGTGCAAACCTGCTGGAAATCACTGATAAATACTCTGGTTACTGGTCTGCACTGGAGCCATGACACTGTACCTTTGCTGTAGTAGTTACCTGCTACAGTAGCTAAATAACAGTTGATGTATTACAGTTCTACCCTCCATTTGTTAGACAGACTCTATATGATCACATCTAAGTTTGTCTTTAAAGGAGGGGAAGGGGAAATTAGCATCCACATATTTCCTATTGGTTTTAAGGGATTTAATCACTGTTAAATATTTGTCCAAGCTTTCAACACCTTTAAGCTTATTTAGCTTTGAAATGCATTTACTGACACACAGAAGTATTTCCCACTGTGAAAGTCCCTGAAACTAAAATGGAAATAATAAGTAGAATTTTCAAAAGCACCTATGTGACTCAGAAGCGCAAGAGGATTTATGCCCCTGAACCATATACACACTTTAGAAATACTATCTTGTTTGTATATTTTGCAGAAGTAGCTACTGCCCTGCCAATTAGCTGCTGTAATTAAGTGATCACCCAGCTGTGTACCTGATATAGCAACCTTTGCTCTGCATGCCACCCGGTCTTTTGACCCAGTGTCTGAAGACCTGCCAAAAAGAAGAAGAAAAAGAGGTTTGAGATTCATGCATTTAGACTTCTAGAACAACTCTTTAAACATTACAAAGTGTCAGGGGTTTCTAATATAGCTCATTTCAATTGCTCCTCTTTAAAATTAAATATGGTCTTGCAGGTTTAAGATATGAGTCATTAGATTCCTGAGGATAAGCTGGAAGGAAGGTACACCATCAATTTTCTTAATTCCCTCTAAGAATTAACTCCAAAGCTTATTTAACCTGGACATTAAAAGGCAAGTAAAGTCATCTTCCCTGTCTTTTCCAGCTCCAGTAGAATCAAATATGTTATCAACTTTCTCCTTCCTCTGTACACAGAATTGAGTAAGCAATTTAATTTCTGTATTGGTTACATTATAGGTTACAGACAAATGCCTCCTCCTCTATTAATAGACACCAGCTACAAAAATTGGTATGTTAATATTGTGAATTTGCATGTAGGCAGTCAGTGTGCTAAGTGGCCAGCCTACAAATCTCAGGCTGAACCTTAAACTGAGTCAAAATAAACTATAGATAATGAGCAACAACAGAGTGCTCTGCTTCCATCTGCAACTGCTCCTAACCTCTAGCCAAATACAGTAAAATGAAAATTTCTAGTCACTTCCAATATCTTGACTTCCAGTTAGAATATCTTCAGAACTCACAGATTATAAGATTAAAGAAACAGGGACAAAATTAACTTGAAAACCCAAGTCACTTGCAGAATTTTCTCTCTCAACCCTCATCATCATCTTTATCTGGATTAAGCTTTAACCAAATTCCAGTCTTGACTAAATACTGGAAAAGAACTGCATTTGCACTATCAGCTCCCAAAGAAGATCTAAATGTTAGAAAGATAACCCTACAGTGTGTATCTCTTCTAATGACCTCAGCTGACAATTCAAATGACTTCTTAAGATAAAACTCTAAGCAATGTATGACAGAGACAAGCCAAGTAAACAATACAGCAGAGTATGACTTTAAGAAAACAATACAGCTGTTCAGATACATCTTCAAGTATCTCTGCCCTATTCTGGAGATAGGTCATCACCATCCAGTGGTCATGGACATCAAAGATCAAGGGCTGTATAAATCAGCATATGTACATATTTGATATTACTCTGTCATTGAAAGCATAAATAAAAGATAAACCACCACAAAGATCTTAATAGGAAAAAACACTACAACTGCAATAATTACAAAATGTCACAAGTTATAAGTGCTAGTTTTTGAAATCAGCATTTATGACAGCAGTCGATGTAGTAAAAAAATACAATTTTCTCCTTCAATAAATTTCCCCTATAAGACCACATTTCTGAAAGCAAAAAAATTAGGTTAATTGCTATAGATACAGTTCATTGCAACTGTGCACATACTTGAAGAATTTCTATGCTAAATTGCTACATAATATTTCATTAAAGCAATAATCTGAAAGGGATAGTGTCTCTGAATCGCTGCTCTCAATATTGCCAAGTTCGATTCCATTAGGCACAAAGGAGGCAAATAAACCATGTATACCTTAGTTTATTCAAGAATTATAATGTGAAAATATTTTCAACTAAAATCATTTTTCTTCACATTTATTAAGTTGTATTCTTTGACTACTTTGATGTCGTTAACAAAAGTGGCCAGCAGAGGGTACCAATTAACCATGATGATTCCGTCATTAAAGAGACTTTAGTAATAGTAAAAAGAATGAAAAGTAGAAATACATGTATCCAGACTTGGATGCTTTTCCATGCTTTGGTCCTTCAGAGTTGGTTAGGTACCTTTTAGTAGGCTAAAGATAATCGAGACAACGCGTCTATTGCGTTACCTAAGATTCACATGCTGAATTCCGGTAGATAATCTCCCTAATACAATCCACCCAGAAAGTGATTACTTGTGTTTACATTTTCTAAAATAAAAAGAACATACTGAAGTGGTCTAATAAAGTAATATAGTAAGGCAACAATAGTGTATGTATGTCTAGGGGAAGAGAGAAGGAGGGGTTTAAATCTACTTTTCTAGACAGGCTGCCTAAGAATTCATCTAGACAAAAGTCTGTTTCATAATACTCTGTTTGAAGTAAAGCTGTTACTCACCGTCCTTCAGTTCTGTATGAGACCAGCTCTTCTTTTTGGTTCTGTAGCTCTGTCCTGTATGCAAGTATGCGGGCGTTGCAAACCATCAGGTTTTTAACAGCATGCAACAGCTGGTCTTTCTGCGTGCTCACTGCAAGTAGTTTACAGATGCCTTCTCGCATGCGGATTTCAAAGTTAATCTTATCTTGGATGTCACACTCCTAGATATGCAAAAAACAAGAGATTGAACAACAATTCAGCTAATACAGTGACTTTTTAAGAAGCTGTATTTATTATGCAGTTGTAAGGACAGAAAACACTAGGTTTTAATTACTATGCAGCCATTAAGATTGTTACAAAACGTAAGCAATTATTCTTTCTTCAGACACAAAAGAGCATACTATAAAACATGGGATGTAACGGATTCGCTATATACATTATACACGCAAATTCCAAATCAGGTATTAACAGTAACTTACCATAACTTTACACTGCATCTGGAAGTTGCTAAATATTTATGTGCCTCAGCTGTGTCATTCATAGGATAACAACATATGTCCCCCTCACATGGCTGCTGAGGCCTAACTGAACAAAGCTTATAAAATAACATCCCATTTTTTACAGTGATCCCTAGTAAAATAATCTCTAAACCCAGGAAAATAACTAAAATGCCTTAAATCAGAATTACAAACTCGTTACTTCTTTGGCCATCTTGAAAAGGGTTAAAAACAGATTTTCGCCTGTAGTTGATATACAATTCAGGTAACGCCTAAAAGTCATAAAAGGGGAATATCCCAAGACTTGACTGGTTCAGATAGGATACAAACTAGATGTCAGAGAGCTGTGATAGCTTAAACATTACACAAGGAGCATGCCTTGCCTGATGGTATAGTCATGTACATGGTGCTTTTCATTCAAAAGTAAGAACATGGACATGCCTATCAGTCACTAGAATTCTGTATCACCGTGTGATTTTGAAGGAGTGGATTTTGTTAATGTATTAAAAAAAAACGGGAAGTTAATTTATTCTTATTTACTTCCCTCCCCTCAGAGCATTTATAAGTTCGCATTATTCCTCATTTATGACTTCAAACAGGTCAATCCACACCTACCCAGAAGATAATTAAGATCATCGGTTTTCACTCCATCTCTAAAAGATACGCTGGATTGCCATGGACAGCTATGATACCCATTTCCTTTTCATGTGGCCACCCCTTGCCAACTCAAGTATTTCTAACATGTGAAAAAACAGCACTAAACAGAAGTCTTCCTTCTTGTTTTCTCTACTCCTGTTGCCCTTTCCTAAAGGCCTTAATAAGAGTATTTAGGTTTAGGACTTTACAGGGACAGTTCACTGTCACCGTACAAATGCTTATATTGCGAATACGTTGCAAGTCAGTTATGAGAGAGGATTTTTCAACACCAAGCAAGGGTGTCCCTCTAGAAATCTCTAGAAATAAAAACAATGAATCAGTTGTGAGTTTTATAGTACATTCGAACTCAAAACAAGTGCTTTAGGGTGCGTCTATCAGCCAGTGACTGAAGTTTACAGTGCAATAATTTGAATTTACAAGTTCAGTATTTCAGCAGGTAGAAAAATATTGGCAGCTATTCACAGAATCACAGAATGGTTGAGGTTGGAAGGGGCCTATGGAGATCATCCAGTCCAACCCCCCTGCTCAAGCAGGGTCACCTAAAGCAACTGTTCTCCCTCAAACTCTAAGCAGGATAGAATTAAAAAGGAACTGGATATTTCCCACAACTCAACTACCCAAGAAATCGACAACTCAAGAAAGGGGTAACACTGATTTTCTTCTCTACTTTATTCCTTATTTTCTTCCTTACTTTACTCCTTTACCACTGTAACTATACTTCTTACAGACTGGGAAAGCCCTCTCTCATTAGCTGCCTTTGAGAGGAGAAAGGAGTCCTTTATAGCAGTCACAAAAGGTAGCTGGAAGCTCACTAAACAGTCACCACCCATTCCCTCCTGTCTGCAGAGATGAGTTTTAGTGTTTTTGAAGGGCTGGTGCCATCCTCTAATACTTCATGTTTTGGCTGCTGTTCCACAGTTGCTCAAAGAGCACCTCCCCTTCCAAAGCACCCCCCTCTTCCCTGCCCTCTGGGAAAAAGCAGCTCCAATCCATAAGCCATATGCAGCATTAGCACAGTAACATGCTCAAACTGGCACACTCTACTAAACAACTCCTGACACAGAGCTTCCAGCCACCTCCAAACACTTAAAAAAAAAAAAAAACCTATCAGATCCCTTTAGTGGTATAAGCCTCACCTCTTTTGTTATAGACAGCAACTTCACAGGGGTTAAAGTAGGACTTAGAGCCATAGAGAAGCTTCTTCAGCCTCATGCCAAGAACCAGCCCACTTACAGAGGCATAGTTTCTCCTTTCCTCAAGTAGGAAAGGAGGTGCTTCCCCCCACCCCAAGGTGCTAACGGTCCCAGGTTTCTGTAGTTAGGCAAAGCAGGACAAATACGTTCTATTCAACTTTTTTAGTGTTTAAGACAATTAAGTCACACAATGATAACACAGATGATAACTAGATACCATGGTTAAAGAGGAGACTACTAAAGAACAGAGGACTCTCCAGAAACTAGAAACTGAATCATAGACACCATGGGAAGCGTTTAGTTTGTGAGCACATTACCACAGTGGAAGCCCTTTGGTATCATGGGGTTGTTTGGTGGCAAGTGCCTCCCAGACCTACAATCCATGATGTCTTCTGATACAAGTTCTACTGATATTCCCTATAGCCTACATCTAAAGGCCTGGGACAGGCCCAGACCAGCACCAGACTGCTCCAGTTTTCTCTCTCATAAATGTACCTTCCAAAGTCTCAGCCACAACCTGTGCATGATATAGTACAACATCTCTGCATCCCCTGCACCTATTTCTGTATCCATCCTTTTTCTCAGCACTAGCTCCAGAAAAGTAGATAGTTTGCATCAATCATCTTTTATTCTGAGCAGAATTTTATGCAGATAATTATTTTTTTTTTAAGCAGGGCCCACATCACTCCTTAAGAAAATAGTTACTCATTCTTTGAGCCTAAGCTAATACATCATTTGCTATAAAGCTGAACTTCATCTCAGAAAAGCAAAATAGCACCTGCCCCTAACATTTCCCAGGGTAACGGGCTTCTCCACTGACCCAGCAGAGATGATAGCTCCTCTCCAGGTCTATCCCCTGGTACTCCCCACTGGTGAGTAAATAAACTCTCCTAGTTCAGGGCATCTGCAAGCACCGGTATTGCCACTTTCAGAATTACACAAAGGATTTAATCCATGCTGCATCTCAGCAAGGCTCACATAAAATACTTTAGACTACCATTAAATGGTTGCTGGACCAGAGCTTAAATAATCTTACCATATAAGTCAGATCTGAAGGAATGACTTAGTAGTCTGCTTTAGGATGTAAAGTTTGCAAAAAAAAAAAAATTGGTCAGCTTTTTTTTTTCTCCCCCCTGCAGTTCCTCTAAAAATATGAGCGTACCATCTGGACTTCAGGGAATGACACAGCACTGTTTTGCCATATGCTGTCTACTGACGTACTGTTTCCCTTGTGGTCCCCATTTTTCCCCCCACCAGTGGCAGCATAACACTGAAGAGATTACTAACAGCTGCTGGGATTTTAAGCTCCATAGTCAGGAACTTAAACCTGGAACTAAACACCACTTTCTCAGAGCCTCTCACTTCCTCAGCTCAGCGTTCCTAGAATTTCAGAAATGTTATATAAACAATGTAGTCTCAAGAAGAAAAAAAAAAAATCACAATCCACCAACAGTTGCTCAGAATGGTAAAGAAACTGTTGGAGACAGGAGAGATTGAAATCTGGTTTCATTTAATTGATATCTTTAATACAAGCTTTTAGCATCTTATTCCAAGGTACACTTCTGATTTACTGCCACAGAAGCTTAAGCTTAAACTTTATTTATTTAAAATAGCCACATAGTGAGGCAGTGAGTAGTCTTAAAACACAGGCCTTAAAGTGAAAATATCAATTTGGGGAATCTACTGACAGAAACAAGTGTTTGCCAAAATTGACAGCAACAGCCTTTTACAGGCATCACTCAGTTCTAACTCAGGCTTATAGACCAATAGCTAGAAAGATTAAAAAGCAACAAAAGGATCAACTCCATAATCCTGAGATCTTGAGGATGATGAACAGCAAGTTCAGTATGCCAAAGGAGCATCTCCACTGTCCAGTAAGTCAGTCAGCTTTCTCACTTCCCCAGTGTATTTAGCTTTTTAAGGCACAAACAAAACTCAGCTTTCCAGGGTTGTTTCATTGCATTTAACCTGAGTTGCTACCTTCATCCTAACACAGGTCAATCCAGCCAGGTCAAAACAAGCCATCACACAACACAGGTGCCACTCATAAGCCCTGAGGTAATCGATACTTGGAAACCGTTAAGCGAGGCTCGGGGAGCGCCTGAGGAGCCCAGCCCCGCGCGAGGCCCCGGCCAGCCGCCAGGCTCCAAAGAGCTCAAGGTCCCTTGCTCGCTAGCTCGCGGGCGGAGAGGAC